TTCTCTTTAAAGTTAACATGCAGCATTGGTTGTTAATGCAGGTCATCAGTCTCAGTCTACAATGTGGACAGAAACTCAAAGCTAACAGTTCAACATCTGTGGTGCAGATGTGTCTGCATGCGTAGGCCTAAATGTTTGGACCCCCAGTGTGTCCTCATCAAAGGTTGAAAGGTGTCCATTTTATCTACCAGTGATCTGAAACATCGTTGGTCTCAGTAAGGTGGTGATGGTTTCCTATATTTCTGTAAATTAGAGTGGCTTTCTCAGAGTAAGGGTTCTGGCAAAGTTCTGTCAAAAGTGACGGAAACAAATCTAAATGAGAGCAGCTTTGTTGTGAATTCAGCTCAATTCATAGGACGTTTCAGTAGTCAGTGAAAAAGCGCAGATGATCCTAAAACGTCGACTTTACTGGTTACTGCTTTAGGCCTTGATTGCTGGAGGAACCACCATGATGCAGCTTTCTTCCCTTTGTTCTCTTATTTTACCATGTACAGGGTAAATGTGATTTTGTTATTAATATGTGTTTCTCCTTCTCTTTCTGAGCAGGTATCCCAGAGTTCCTGTTATGGTGTTTGTTGTCCCTCTTTCCTTACCTTTCAGGACCCAACTGGTGATGGACTCCCTCTTTGAGTGTTGCTCTGCCAGAGGTTTCTTATTGTTATTTTATTTCCTACAGATGCCTTGTTCACAATCCGGATGGAAGAATGGATCAAAGCGAAGAGTCTATGCAATCTGTTCATTTCAATCTATATATGAACAGGAACAGTTTTTGAACTGGCCCTGTATGAACTGGACTAATCTGGAATATAGACTGGAGTTATTTCTGATTATGAGGTAGGATTATGATTGTATTACAATGAATTGGATTCTAATTACCTGAATTGGATTGTATTGCTGAAATGCCTGGAGATTACATTTGTTATGGTTTGGCACTATATGAATATAATGTAATTGAAATGAGTGAAAATACAGTGAAGTATGTCCATTTTGGGTAATTTTAAAGGAGCAATGACATTGTGTTATGCAGTCATTAAACAATTCCATTAAAAAAATTTCAACCACATTGTGGCATCCCAATTACCTCATGGCACATTGCTGTATGTCCATAAGGCTGGGTGGAGAGCCATCATACTGAGAACCGAAAACACCACAACGCATCAGCCTTGACTCCTGTAGCTGGTTCCAAGTGGTCACCAGGGTATACAGTATGTAACTAATCAGGAGGAGAGACGTTTTACAACCCTCTTTAAAACAAAGGCAGGAGGCAAAAATCAGTAGAAACAACAGATACATTTTCCAGCACAAACGACTAATCTCCACTGTGGAAAACACATACAATAATAGTACTTTTAATTTAATATAAAGTTCATTTATATGATAAACATATAACTATAAATTAACATGTTGTTGTGTAGTATAGCTAAATTCCCCAAAACATAATGGATGTTATTCTAACAAATGAATAGAATGATATAATATTGGAAAGAATAAGATCAAATTAGTGTAGCATCAGATACCGTCTGACCATAAATCATCAAATAAACAGCAGCAGGAAGCAAAAATAAGTGGACACAACAGATACATCTTCCTACGTGAGCAGACCTCTGTCACAAATCAATACAATCACATTTTTTATTGACGAAATAAACTGAATCAAAAGGCCTTCAACAGCAGCTAGTACACTTGCGGCCTCACATTTCAGCGCCTCTTTCACACTGAAAGTTCTGAGAAAGCTCCCACAAAAAACTCTGTATGCAACTCTCGGATGGTAAGACTCTGGCAGGGGATTTTGCACTGGATGCACAAACAGGGACCAGAACACCACACCACAGTTTGAGGGGTTCTACGTCCAACCCAAGGACACCTCACAATGGGAACCTCCGGAGGAAATACTTCTTACCCCTGAGAATTAAAAGTTCTATGTTGACACTGCTTAAGTTGATATTATTTCTGCAGATATGCAATTTATTAAGTTTTGCAGCAAGAAGGCAACATTTCTGTGAAGTAGAAGTATGGTTACATAACAAGTATTTCTCTTGGACAGAAGTAAAAATCAAAACATGCCAAGCTGTTTAATTCACGACAAGGAAAAGAATGTAAACTGGCCTTTCCCCTCGTCTGTTCTTAAGTGTATCCGAGGACAATAGATAATCGGTGTGCCGGCTGTATTCCTTTTCCTTTGTCACTGCTTAAAGTCAAATCTTAAAGACCAAAATAGATGAGACAGGGAGAAAGATTGAGGCTGTGATCCTGGATGTCTGTGGTTTCAGGGGAAATCTGCAAACAAATGATCAGAGACGATCCAAATAAACGCCCTCATTAGCTGTGAATGAGCAAGGAATGTCCTGAATAGTTTTTACATAAGAGGATGAAACATCAAAACACAGACTGCTGCAGTGATTTCCTGTTCTGACTGGGCTAAATGTCAACATTAGCATGCTCCATTTTCCCAGTTCATGCATGTGATTTCAATGGTGAACAGCTTCCATTGCACAAAAATCTTGTTTGACACTCAAATGATGAAAAGTATTTAAAAAAAATCTTTTATGTTTTCAGCCACTTTTATTCTATGTCATTCGTGAAATAAAAGGGCATGTGGAGAGTAAGCATTTGAATTGAAATATGAGATAAAAAATCTCTAGATTCAGCCTCAAAATTTTATTGTGACAGATAAACTGTCAATTCAGTTGAGCTCACGTAGAAAGACATGACTTATGTAGGTAACTACTAACGGTTTCATGTAGTATTCTTATCAGTGTCACACCCTGTTTCCTCTTTACCAGCTCTTAGATTAACTAGCTGTGACAATGACAGCAGAAAGAAGGACTTGGAAAAAAGTAATATGTGGGTATTGCTAGATAAACTATGTACTAATTGTTCCTGGTAAGTTTAAAAAAATAATAAAATGAAAATTATACATGCACCTTGTTTCGATCTGAGCGGGTTTTTTTTTTTTTTTAACAGAAATGGTATTTAACACAACTTTTTTCTGTATTAGCTGCTGAAAGGAAATGAGGGAAGTTCAGTCTTTGGAGACTCAGATACTGTTAGAGATTATTTGGGGGCTCACACCACAGTAAACATTATTGAAGAATTCCTAAACATAAAATTGATAAACTGAAAGATCAGAAGAAATTTATGGAACAGAAAATGAGTTGCAACATGACCGATGGGACACTAAAAAAACAAAACATTTATAGATTAATGGTCTCAGTTTGAGTTATTCTATGGCACAATGATCCCTCTTCTCTCTCTCTCTCAATTTATTTGGCACATTACAGTAAAACACATGGCGTAAATGGTACACTACCAATGTAAACACACTCATTGTGTTTCGGAATGTGTCTTTTCCTTTTTGGCACTGTTCCCTGGGCCAGAGCAGGCTGATAAGAACGCGCCTCCCTGTCTCTGCAGCTTTCAAAGCACCCCGCAGCGACCCTCCAGAGTCCCATTCACACGAGACACGCTCATCTGTAACCCGCTGTAACCACTGTCTCTGACTCCACCCACAAAAGTGCGTTCCGACTGAAAAACAATAAGACTTTCCCGTCGTGTAAGACACACGCAAGGCACGTCAGGCATGTTTTCTGAGGCCCGCTATGGAATGTGCAACAAAGAGTGCATGCAGGCTGCAACAATTCTGGGAAAACATGACTTATGAAGGAAGTTCAGCAAGTACTGTGCTTTATATATAGATGTAGAGATATTTCACAAGTGTCCAATCACAGATGCAATCAAATCTTGCCAGGTTAGAAACATTCCATCCAACCTACACAGCCATTCCAGAGATAAGTTAGCCCTATTCACAAACAGTCCTCTTTTCCCATGAAAAGTTATGCTCTTACAGTTAATAGGAGTTCATAAAATACCGTCATTCATCAAGATCGGTTTATAATGGGAGCACTCATCTGTTTGCCCATCTTTGCTCAGTTGGGGTCAGAGAACAAGACAAGAGCATCTCCCTGTTTCATGGAATCTGTGGTCCAAAAACACAAGTCCTGATATTCATATTTACAGCAGGACATTGCAACTTCATAGCTGCTGACTCTCACAAAAAGAGCACTGAACTGCTCCCTCTGCTGCTCGTTTGGTGGTAGAGCTTGGAAAGCGGTCATATCTCAGGTTTTCTTCTCAAATAGTTCTAGTAGTCAAATAACACCACCCCATCAAGGATATTTCAGAGATTATAACCGATGATGGATTATGAATTCCTCCACAACAAAAACAAAGAAACTTTTTGGGGGTGTTGATCTCTCTTTCTTCAATAAATTACACATAATCAACACTAATGACCCATCTTTAAACATCTACTGACAATGAGACATAACTTATCAAAAAATAGCTAAATAATTTTTAGTCAATTAGAAACTAAATTGAACAAACTGATTTGAGACTCAAGAGATTTGGAAACATTATCTTTTTATGAGATTGTCACATTTTGCTGCACTAGGTAAGTAAAATAACTGAAATTGAAAAATTAAAGCTGGAATGTAAAATAGCATAATCAGTAATGCAATGCAAGGCAGAGCTAATTTATTTTAATAACGCAATTTGTGTACTAGACAAGTCAAGTGCTTTACATAAAAGATTAAAGAACACTTTGTTAAAAGGTAAGAGTTTTAAAATCAGAAATCAAGAATAAGTCTAAACGGTTTAAATCATTATTACATCAATCAAAAGTTAGAGTGGAGATCAAATACTTTCAGGTGTCACACACACAGCCTGGATTTAAACATTGTCAAAGTTGAGCCCTGTCTCACATCTTCCAGAAGACTCACAGATTTTAGGAGCATAAAACTGAAACACAGCCTTTCTGTGTTTGGTCCTGACTCGGTAACAGTAGGGGACCACTACCACTAACTTGTTCACAAACAGGGCTGTTTTAAAGTCTATTCTCTGAGCGACAGGAAGCCAGTGTAGAGACCTGAGCACTGGAGTGATGTGCTCGTTTTTCCCGGTTCCTGTCAGATTCTGGATGTTCTGCAGCCGTCTTACAGCCTTTAGAGAGCCCAGTGAGCAGGCCGTTACAGTAGTCTGCTAACCTGTTACAGACAAATGCATAGATTAGTTTTTTTTAATCTGGTTTAGACACTATTCCTCTGATTCTTGTAGAGATTTTTAAATGATAAAAGGCTGCTGATGTTATTTATTTAATTTGGCTGGTAAAGTTCAGGTCTGGGTCCAGCATTACCCCAAGATTTTCAACCTGATTATTAGGTTATATAGAGCGAGTCTTAAGGTGAGTGTTGAAACTCTCTTGGACAGTTTTGGTGGTTGCTGACGCAAAGACATGGGAGGAGATGTGTGACAGTTCAACAGATCATCAACATTAGAACACAGTCAGAGGACTTGGATGCAGAAGTTCAGCTTGGTTTCCATGCTTTTATTTAAATTATTTCCATGTGTCCATTACAAAAAGCTGTAAAAATATATTTATCGATTTTAGCATTCCCTAAGTTTAAAATAATGTAGACAGAGGAGGTCAGAGGGAAAAGATCACTGTGGGAAAAGAGGGGAGGCCAGCAGGGGGAGTCCTACAATCTTGAATGGCACTGTTATTAAAGCTTGTATGACATCCTGTTAAGGCAGTTATGGCAGACAGACTTGGTGAATGAAAACTCCTCAACCTTTAAAATTCTTTTCTTATGAATGGAAACATATATATGTATGCATTAATGTTAAATCCTTCACTTGAAACCTTCCAGTTACAGTCCAAACTGCAAATATTTGGACCAATCAGGTTTTAGGGGCTGACAAAAGACAATTCACTTAACCGTTGACCTTTAATAAACAGTCCTGTGTCACAATCGTTCTGGTATGTAGAAAAAAATATTCAAGGCGGAAGTAAAATAAAGAAAAAAAAAAGTAAAATGACAATTAAAAGTGACAAGTTAACCTAATGTGTTTATCAAGTGAAACAGCTGCAGCTATTAGGACAAACTTAGGTGAACCCGAGGCTCTGAGTTGATGAATTCAGGATGAAGAAAACAGCTTGCCTGCTAATGCTGTGACTCCATCTCCGGCCACTCTATTTGGTCGGACCCCAAGTCATTTTTCAGGAACTTGGCCATGGTTCTGACGATGCTCTCGCTCATTCCGTCAATGTGAGAGTCCAGTCTATGCAGCAGCGCCTCGGAGCGCAAGTTCTCCTCCTCTAAGAAACAAGAGACCGTGGCGTGTGCTGGTGACACCGACAAAAGCTCCTGGGAGGTAATGGGAAAAAAAAAAGTCACCACGGGTTCCATTATTCAACCGGTTTCATCTCAAAAGAGGGAGAGGAAATTACCTTTTCTCTGGCCGAGGAAGTTGAACTTTGGCTTTCAGCAGCAGAGTCATCTGGACTTAAAGGTGGCGCTGAGGTTGCCCTAATCTGTCTTGTACTGCTGCTGGTGGAGGAAGATGAGGAGGAATGCGGTCTACTGTTTTGGGTCTGGCTGCATGTCTCTGTTGGAGACCCAGACATGGTCTGAAGCTTCTTAAAGAGCCTCTGGATCTCCCTTTCATGGCAACTTGCGCCCTCCTTCGGTTTGGCCTTTGTGGGCTGTGTGTCAACTTGAAGCCTGCAAAGACAAGGATTCACAATGACCAGTCATGGAAAATGACTGCATTTCACGTTTACATAAACCCAAATAAAACAGTCAAGTTACACTTTAATTCAGGGTAATTAGCATTTACCGGTCACCGACGGTCTTGGGAAAAAAAAGCAACAATTGTGCAAAATTCCTGCTTTGTAACACGTACACACAGAGTATAAAGACATCTGACCTCAGGTGACTGAGCAGAGGTTGCTCATTCTGTTCCTGACATGTCTGCTGAGAGTCACCGTGCTGCATCTGCTTTGAGACAGTACTCTGCTTTGACCAACACTTGTTGGTCACGGAGGACGTGTAGCTCTCCCTCGTCTGAGGAGAGGAAAGAGGTTTTAACAAACAACAGCTTTAGGAAAAGAAGACTCATAAAAATACAGTGAAACGCACAAACCTCAGCTGAGGGATGCTGCATGTTATGCAGCAGACTCTTAAGGTGGTGGTTCTCAGATTGTAGAGCGTCCAGCTGGAATTCAGGCATGTGAGTAAAGAGAAATAAAAACAAATATATTTGCGGGTGACCGTGAAAAAAAAGTACGTTTACACCAAAGGATGATTACTAGACAGGAGTACTTCAGTTTCGATATAATTAACCTACGAGTCAGTAAAATGTTTCTTTAGGAGTTTCTTTTCGGTCCCATTTCCTTTTCCAGCTTTTTGTTACCCCAGCACCTTTAATTTTGCTCTAAAAAGGTTAAGGAGCTGATTTATTGACAAGAAAATTTCCATCTGATATCAGTTTTATGGCAAAATAATCCACTGTTTAATCTACATTCTACACCATATTCTTAGTCTTTTGAAAAAAAGGGGTCATTATTTCTTAGTTCTTGACTCGCTTTGAGCTCCACTCCCCTCTGTTCTTGCTCTACCTGATCTTGAAGCTTGACGCTGGCTGAGGAGTTGCTCAGCGTGGCGATGGTGAGGCTGCGCTGGTGCAGTTCCCCCGTCAGCTTTGCCACCTCCTTTCTCATTCCCTCCAGTTCACCGCTGTGAGCCTGCCTGGCACACTGGAGCTCCTCTCTGAGCTGTTCAACACGCGCAGAGGGAAGAGGGCCGATGTTGCACTTGCAAAGAAAAATCTGCATCTGAACAAGTCGAGCCGGAGTCCTGACCTTTTTCCTTTCCGAAACGGCCGAGTCATACTCCGCTCTGAGGTTTCGGAGTTCTTGCTCCGCCTTTGAGTTGTCATTTTTCTGTCCGCTCACGCTCTCTAGCCTGAGCTCAAAAGAATCCATGTGCCAATTGACACATTCAAAGTACACATGAAGCACAAAAGAACGGAACAAAATCTGTTCCCATGGCATAACTAAACAAAGAACATTTACCTCTCTTTGACGCATGCGAGTTCAGCTTTGAGGTGGACCTCGCATGCTTGCGCACACTGAAGTTTGGCCGCTGTTCTCTCTAGGTGTATTCGGAGGTTTTCCACATCAGCACATCCCTGAGCTGCCAGGCACTCCTCCAGAGAGCTAAACACACAGGTCTTCAGGAACATATTGCATAGGACTGTACCATGTCACAACATTTTTGGACGGCTAAAGCTGCCCAATACTGCTGATGGCACAAGTGTAGAATGTCCTTTTGTATTTTTTTTGGGCTCCACTGCACAGCACACTGATCACATTGGAAGCCCACCTACCGGATAACTTGATCTTTCGCGTGAAGTGCTTGTTTGAGCCTAATAGCTTCATCTTGGAGCCTTTTGTGTTCAAGATTGGTACTCCTCACGAATGGATCCTGGGAATCCTGTGTGGCACCTGACAGCAGCTGTAGGAAGTACATTCTCATTGGTTGATTCTTCAACATGCTAAACTGCAGCACAAACTAAATGGCCACCTTGCAGTTATCTTAGGTTTTACGAACTGTAGCTGCACGACTGAGTTTAGGTGGTTATATAAAACATGGCTTTAGAAAGATTTTTTAAAACATGTCGGTGAGTAGTCACTCACCATTTAGTGCAAATAAACTGAAGTGTAACTATTTTTATTAAGGAAATTATATTGTCAATTTAGTGAAAACACAGCCGCCGCTTATTATTAAAATACTAACTGGAAAATAGGCCTATATAGGAACAGCTGAGGGGATCGAGCACGTTACTGTTTATTAACACGCACTCCCGTTTTTCAACTAACCTGCTCATCTCTCTTGTGCCGTCCTAACGTCTCAAATGGTCTGAGGCGATCCAGTTCAAGTTTCTGTGCGTGCACGCAGCCCTGGGCCTTCTCCAGCTGCGTGCGCAGAAGCTGAATCTCTGAGCAGCACTCCCGGTGCTCTCTCACCGCTCGTTGCTGGGACTGGGAATCGTGTAACAGATCATATGCGTTTCAGAGGTGTCTTAAAGATGAATCATTTGGTTTAAAATGTTAAAATCCACAGACTCGCTTTTACTTTTAAATGTGAAAGCTCATCAGTCAGGTTCTTATTCTGGGCCTCCAGCACCGTTAGCTGGTTTTGGTACTTGGCACGCAGCTGTTGGCACTCTGCAGAGTGCTGATGACAGTCCTGGTGGAAAAATGTAAAGATGATCAGGCTACTCATTACGAGTAAAAAGTTGGTAAGGGATGTAAGGAGTTAGGTCACCTTTGAAAGGTCTGTCTCTTTTGCTCCTCCCCTTTTATCCTTGAGCTGTTTGTGTTGGAGCTTGTGATAACTCCTCTTCAACTTATCCAACTGAAGGAAAATATTTTTGAAGTGATTTAATCATACGACTGAATAAGAAGTATCACTAAGAAGGAGAAGAGTACTGTTATTGACGGCAGATTCACCTCTTCCTTGACTTTCTGTAGTTGTTGCTCATATTTGGAAATTATGTCCTGGCGACCGCTCTGGGTGTCATCAAGCTGGTTGCGAAGTAATGCAATCTACAGGGATTGATGAAGGTATAATAGCTAAAATGAGTACAGGTTGAGATACTTCAAGAAAACACGACTGTATGACGTTCTTTCTTCAGTTACTTCACCTCAAGGTCCCTTCGTTCAATTGTGTTTTTTGAGGTTAAGAGAGCCTCTTCCCCACTTTTCAGCTTTAACTCCAAGGTCTGAGTTTCAGCCTCCCACACTTTCTTCTGATGATTGATCATAATGTCAATCTGTCGCATTAGCTCTTGAAGCTCTGGCTCACATGAAGAAAGGACAGAGCTAGAAGGAACATTTAGGGGAAAACACAGAGATTTTTGAGGGACGCATTCAGATAAAACGCAGGGTAACTAACGACAAGCATAAAGGTTGACATGAGTGCAAGATAAAAGTTCGTTAAACTATCAAATGAGCTGATATTGGTTATTCACAGTTTTTCACGAGACTCTATTTACCTTAATTCGCAAGTTTGCATTGATTCCAAAGCAGCCTCCATCTGGTTTGGTGTATTCCTGTTTACAACCTTGTTTCTAATTTTTGCTACAACGGACTCGAATACCGTGCTAAGTTAACTAACCTGGCGTTGATAAGCTTAACGTCGGAAGTTTACCATTGTCTTCTGAGTTGCTTCTGAACTGTGGGTAAGACGCAGAGGATTTAAGTTATCTAACGCAAGAAACTAATATTAGCTTATTTCAGCGCGTGAAATAAGTTTTATTTACATCCCTTATTGGACTCAAGTTTACGGCATTCTCCAGATATGGGCTGAATAGCTCTCCTGATGTTAGGCGGTAACCCCACCCCCATTCGATGATGTCAGCACGTTATACGTTCAGTGCATTAACGTAAACCAGGGAAATTGTAATGTCGGAAGATATTGAATTGATGTTTAAGGTGTCTACCACTTCAGGTTAGGTGAAACAACGGTTGGCATTTTGGTCTATTATTTTTTTTAAATACGAATTGTCTCATATATCTATCTCTCTGTCTATATATATATATTATTATTTATTATATCACACAATTTTCTTAATTTATGTCTAATTTATCTAACTTATCTAATTTATGTCTATGTCTGCACGGGAGAGCAAGAAACGAAATTTAAATTATTTGTATGACCAACGCATGTAAAGAAATTGACAATAAAGCCTACTTGACTTGACTTGATAAGAATAGTTTTCATAGACAACGTGAGGTTAGTCCGGAGTTTTGGTACAAAATGAACCAGGCAAACCAAAAACTGTAAACTAGCCGGTAGCTAGGACACGGATCGTCATCCAGAGTATGAATTGTTCCATACGGAACAGTGAGAACACGTGGCTCGTTGGTCTAGGGGTATGATTCTCGCTTCGGGTGCGAGAGGTCCCGGGTTCAAATCCCGGACGAGCCCAACTTTTTTATTGCAAATTGCCCGCTGGCCAAAATATATTCCCAGTGTTGAAATTTCCAACCTCAAACATTCAAAGCATGAATTTGTATTAGAGAACACCACTACTATGCAAACATAAGCACATGCAACTTGGAGCAGATAATTAATAGCGCATTTAAAGTTTGGAACATAGGATATCAATTATGTGCACGCGCACGTTGCTCACACCTCAGTGGATACGTAGGGCTCGTTTTGGTACGAGACGAATCGAAAGTTAGATCAAATCGAATGGTTTGAATGTGTTTATTTGATGGCATGAACGAGTATGTTCCAAAATGTGCTATTGTTCCCAACACGGGCATTTTTCATCAAGTGGAATTCCACCGATGAATCAATACTACACAGCCGTTTCATGGAATACATGCGTTGATATTCTTCACTCCTGAGAGAAACGTGTGTGGCTCGTTGGTCTAGGGGTATGATTCTCGCTTTGGGTGCGAGAGGTCCCGGGTTCAAATCCCGGACGAGCCCAATTTTTCTGTTTTTATTGTCGGATTTCTTTATCCTTTATGGTGCCCAAAACCCAGCTCACGTAGAAAATTCAAACTTAGACAATATTTAGGCAACAGTTTGTCTCGCTCCCTTTCCAAACACTCCCAACCCTGTATATCCCCTACCCCTCCATCCACCTGCCCTCCGTGAAACACCGAACAAAGAGCGTCTGCTTCCCCAGCTGCTGTTGGGAGGGTGTTGGCTGAGAGAGAGGGAGGTTTCTGTTCCGCCCCCTCCACCGCATCAGCCTGGGCTGACCGGCTTCATGTGAAGAAACGACTGAACTGCCCAGTCAGAGGAAGCAAAACCAGCGGTAGCACGACAGCGACGAGTGAGTAGATTATTGATGATTGTGTGTTGCATTATTTATCAATACAAAAGTCCCGAATTCAATAATAATACCAGTAGATTTTTTGGTATTCAAATTTGATTGTAAATTTGATATAATGTATTGTTTCTATCTGCGTTAGTGTGTGTGTGTGTATATATATACATATGTATACATATACATTTTTATGTCATGATCAGTTTATAGATAGATAGATAGATAGATAGATAGATAGATAGATAGATAGATAGATAGATAGATAGATAGATAGATAGATAGATAGATAGATAGATAGATAGATGTGTTGATGTTCACTTTAACTTGTCATTTATTTTGCTATCATTATTGATATAATATGAATGTAGAACGTGGGAATAAAGGCAATTGCTTTGATTTTTGTGTCCAAACAGACTAGACTCTCTGCTCTACCCATCCATCTTAGCCATGGTTCTGTGTGAGGATGGCGAGTGCAGCGTGTGCCTGTCGGCCTACTCCCGCATGGACCGGATCCCCCGGGTGCTCCACTGCCGGCACACGTTCTGCGAGCCGTGCCTGGAGACCATCTCCCGGCTGCATGGCGGGCTGCTGACCGTGGCCTGCCCCCTGTGCCGCAGGGTGACCTGCATCAGCCGGGAGCGCAGCCTGCAGGAGGCCCTGTGGGTCAACACCCAGATCTGGGACCGGATCCCCGACCAGCTGGATGCGGAGGGACAGCCGGATGAGACCGAGGGGGATGGAGTGAGGCAAAAGGCAGAGGAAGAGGGGATGAAGGCTAAACAGAGACCCTCATTACAGGCGGAATGGTGGGTTTGTAAAAAAAAAACACTCATTTGTGAACAGCTTTGTGATTTGGTTTCCTGGAATTTTGACTTGTGCGTATTGTTGTGCCTTGACGCTATATATAGGTGTGTTGCATCAACAAACATAAATAAGGGAGGTTTTCCTCCCCAAAAAGTAAGGTGACATGACATAAGCCTACTGATGCTCTGAGGACTGGGAATGTTTCAAAAGGGCGAAAATGAGAGCAAAGCCTATTTGATTAGAAATTCCTCCCATACCGGAGCATTTGCGCGTCTGTGTTAAGCGGCTCTCATTAGCACCCCTCCGCCCCGGAGAAATGCGTTTTTTGTTGCAAAGGTTCAACAATGTCCTGTTTGACTTTTTTTTCAGCGTTTCTTCGAGGTCTGCCAGACCCAAGATCAGACTGCCAGCTTTCTTCAGGAAATTCAGTTTGACAAAAGAACACCAAGAGATCGTCCCTGGCAGCACTGTGTAAGTTCAGATTTATTCAAGAATAAGTATAATAACAGGATGTTGTTAATAAAAAAAAAACTTTTTAAAAAGTCACATTTTTATTAATTTTGTTCTTATTTTTTTAGGGAAATGAAATCCTGGCGTAGACTCTCAACTGATGAGATATTTTAAACAACAAGGAGGAGAAGTTTGTACAGAAAAGAGATATGAGGAGTTTAAGGTCTCAGGATTTTCCTATGACAAGTGCATCAACAGGACCAGACTTATCTTTGTCAGTGGAAAAGGAAAGTTGAGACCGTTGAAGAGCATAAATCCATTTGTGTTCCTGTCAAGGCATTGTTTTGTCTCCGGCCTGAAGGTGCCATGTATTTCCATGATTTATTCTAGGCCTAATACTCCCAGCTGGTGCTGTGGGATTTAGTTCAGCTGTCCCAGTGGAGCTAACACCAGAAGACCCCAGAGCAGATGGTCTCCTCCCCATCATCGCAACTGCCTAACAATGAACATAAGTGATTGTTTTCTTAATTTATGACAACTAGTTCACAAAGCTTTTTATAAAGTAATTTTTTCAATTAATATCTCTTGTTTTCATTCTTCTTTCACTCACTTATTCTCATCTCAACATGCAGCTTCATTGGATGTCAGTCATCTAAAAGGATAATGAGCTTTACACTTTACAGTGTGCATTATTTATAAGAATAAAGTAAGTTTCAGTGACACAAAAAGAAGTCAGTAGGGAATTGCTGAATATGATAATATAGTATTGCTTATTTTGGCACGACATACAGCAAAAAAAGCTGCCACAAAAGATTCGCTCAGCTGTGAAAGTGGATTATAATCTCCATTCATTAGGCATCTGGCAAATATTCCACATTCGATGGAATCAGAAAACCGGACCACTTTCATGCTCGTATTGTTATAAAAAAACGGCTGACAGCATGTGCCATTGTGATATGGAAAAGGCGTGAGAGCTGTGGATTTCAGTTCCGGGACATGTTTGTACTAAGTCACATCAATGTGAGAGTAATCTGTGCAGCTCGTTAGTTGCCACACTGGTTTGGTGAAGAACAGGTTTCAGATGGCTAAAGTGGATACATATTTTGACAGATGCAATGTTATTGTACTTCCTTTTTTTAATCAAATAAACTCTCCTTAATGAAAATTTTAAAAGCTGAAAGAAATCTTGAAATGAACTGGTATCAGTAGTAACATACTAATTCCCGACTGTTTTACTTCAAGAGAGAAGTAAACTTAACGGAAACAAACTCAGTTGTGAAATAGGAGTCCTGGTAATGCCAATCCACAAAATTAGGGTGGAGCATATTTTAAATAATTTGGTTGTATAAACTTGCAATGCTATGAAACAAAAACTCTTCACTACAAATGGAAACGTTGAATATCTGCTTTGGAAATGTTTAAAGCAAAAAATATTATGCACTGGAAAATAAAAAAAATGCTCAAGTTTTAATATCTGAAAAATGTAGTGGAGCACACAAAAATCTCCCTGAAATGTGGTGGAGTAAATTTTTGAAGAATACCTTCCTACCTAGAATTGGACTTAATGTTGTAACAACCGCAGTATTGTTGGATCAAACAAAATATTAAGACAGCGATTAGACCAGTAGCCACAAAAATGTCTCACAACAGGAAACCCAGCACTATGGGGCAAGTTTGTTTCCACATATGTTACTTATGTCAAGCAATAGTACATTCTAGGCATTAGTTCAAAATATTTTTTTATGTGACTGTACAGAACATTTAATCTTAATAGCAAACAAAGAACAGACTGTAAAGTCCCTTTTTCCTAACTGCAGCATATTTATGTATCTATCTATCTATGTATCTATCTATCAACTTCACTGTTCTGTACTTTGGCTTACGAGACAATTTGTTGATAAAGGATTAAAAATAAACACATATAAAGATACTTAATAGCTTTAAGTAGTACACAATGGCTAGTTAATACACCTAACTTCTGCCAATGGCCTATTTATTGAATTAAAAAATGTTTTGAAATGTGTTGACAACTACATTCACAGGTTTATTACATTTGCAAAATCCAGCAGCTATTATTATATTCTGTATTATTTTCTATATGATTAGTATTAGATGCTGTGGCAAATGTAACCTTCAGTTAAACTGCTAAAAGCTAGTAAGGATAGCAGTGGACCACTGACAGCTACCCAAAACTCACTTGAGTGAGCTAAAAAAACAAAAAAAAACAAAAAAAGTTTCAAGTCAGTTATGTATGTGATATGTGATTTAGAAAATACTATATGTGCAGTGACGGTGGTAGACAAAGCACAACGGCCCACTTTAACTCTGTGGTGCTTTTACAGGTTAATCCGAGCTTGGCCAACTAAGAACCTACACATTCAGTCAACAGTTGAAACTGGGAGTATTGATTGAGTCAAGCCTGAAACTGTGCGTGTCACAACACGCACAAACGTTTTCTTAATCCTTGTTTTGACTTTTTAATTATTGGTGACCTGGAAAATCCCAGTAGAGCATATTTCATTAAGCGTCAGGGGATTACAGTTTCGTGTTTTGTGTTGAATAAATAGGGTCCTTTGCAAAAAGTTGGTAATAAGACATCTTTATTAATTATTTGGAGAGACATGCTAGATCTCTGTTCAGTGGGAATGGCGCACCGGGTCGGGACTGATCCGAGTCTGCCGCACAGAGCCGTAATATCACCAACGAACCCCCTCAGGAAATGGAGAAACCACCACTCCCCCAAACACACAAAGACTTGGTCCATTTACAGGGAATGTAAAAATGAGCTTTTGGGGATTAAAAGTGGACACTTTTTATGTTGATGGATATAAATACAAATGTGTGTCTCTTGATACTTGATACATTTTTTTTTCAGTCGATCAATACCCATAAGATATTTCTAAAAAAGAAACAAAACACAAAACCTGTCAATCCAAAGCTGTGTGAATGACAGCAAAGCAATCCTGTTTTGAAAAAGTCGATGGGCAAAAACAAAGCTCACAGATTTGTTTTCTTTTTACCCTCCAAATTTGTCTTAGTCATTCATAAGCCCATAAAAGGTGCTTTCCTGCCAAGATCCCAATGGTATCTGATCCAGCTGTCTCTTTTTTTTTTAATCATTTGGCTCATTAAGTTTGTTAGAAAGTTCACTAGTTTACACAAGAATGCTTCTCATTTGAACAAGTGCGAGCAATTCCTAAAAGTTTGTCTCTATTCTAAATCACGGTACTCCAGATGCCCTGGATGTTTTTTTTCCCACTACCCCCCCAACCACATTTCTTTTGATGTTGTCACTCTAAATCTAAGACATGTTCTTAAAAAGTGCATTAAAGTCCAAGCCAAATCAAGTAGTGTTCTCAACACTGGCTTACATTACCATCAGTACATTATGAACAGACTCTCCAGGGAGAAATGAAAATAAAAAGCCAAATTTAAACACAGTTCCAACATTCGATAATGTCAACATAAGTAGTCAGTTCAAACAAAAGCAGCACAGTTCATTTCAGAGGAATATAGATTATTTCCTGAAGGTAACAATCAGACATGTCTTTGAATTAAGTGACTGTACATTTACAAAGAAGCCTCTTCTAACCTCATAGTTAACCTGAAAGGTCTACATGTGCAAATTAGTCTTTTGTCAGGAACAAAACTGATTTACAATATCAATGTGTTTGATCACCACACGGAAAAACTTTGTGCTCACATTTTTTTTTTGTTTTTTTTGTGACACAAGGCAAGAGCTTTGATTCTCCACTGCTCACGTACAGTACGCTGTATGTGCAGATTATCGTCGACAAATACCGGGTTGTTACTCGATGCAACGGCAGCTGTCACGTAGGGCAGAATATCTACGACACATCCGAACAGAAAGGTGCTCCAAAAAGAGCCTGTAATGTGGTGGAAAAAGATGTGATGTGGCAGTGGCCCTCAGTGTGACTGCATTCTATTGTTGCTGTACAGAAAAGCACACATTTATACACACAACCACACACACGCGCACACAAACGAGTATGACATAAACAATATTCTGAAGTATACAAATTCAGTTCTTTTAACAAAAAGTCTCAGACAGAGTGCATCAAGTCACTAGTGTAATGTTAACCAATTACATGTTCAAACTAGTGTAAACAGGTAAACAGTACCTATGCTTCACAACAAGGCATGCATTAAGATTCTCTAGATGTTGCAATTCAGTTTGTCCCATTAAACCTAAAACCCCCCACAAATGTCTGAATCCCTTTTGAGTGACAGGCAGGACCAACAGGCTCTGAATGCTCAGGAAATTAGCTTTTTGATGGGATTGTGTGTGTGTATGTGTACACACATATATATATATATATATATATATATATATATATATAAATACACACACACACACACAACAACAGCACTGTCATATGTCATATGTAAGAACATGTAGAAAACTGAATTTTCTACGTAAAAGAAGTATTCTAAGAAGCACGATAGAGACTTTTATTTTTCAAAAAGTCAACTTTCTTTTCCTTTTCTTTTGGATTTTTGCTAACGAAATAGGCCCAATTTTCTTATCTTGCTGGTTCCAAACGATGGTCAGACGTGGAAGCCAGGGTCTCAGTGTGCGAAGTCAACAGCAGGTTAACCAAGGGGTTGAAACTTAACAAGCATGTGTTGAAGATGATGTTTGTTTGTTTGTTTTTTCCAGGACAGAGGCGGAGCATTAACAGGAGCATCCGCCTTCAGTGGTCTGGGGCTCCGGCGGTTTGTCCAACTTGATGTCAATCACTGAACAACTGCGTTAAGGAAGCTACACAATCATGTGGGGATGAAGCAGCGAAAAAACAACAAAAAAACACACATGTAAAGTTCAGGCTGCATTTGGTGTCACTGAGAAGAAAAAAGGAACAATCTTATGTGATGACTTTAAAAGAAGAGATACATGTTTTTCAATGTTCACTATTGAAAAGTGTAGTGCCAATTAATAACCACAAGATGGCCCATTTTCCTGTCACTGCATGATGGAACGCTGGCCTTAAAACCTTCTACTGACAACGTCGACACATTATAAAGCTCAACAAATGACTCAGGGACTGATTTCGTTATTAGGAGAGGCAAAATTCTTTTTAAAAAAAGTACAGAAATACAGAAAACAGAGAATGAGCACCGGTTTTTCACGGAGAGCTTGAAAACACATCCATATTTACCTGCTGGATAAAGGTGCAGCAGGCACTTATTCATTTATTATTATTTTTTTCTGGTGAACTTTATGCATGTGGAAGGAGGAGGAGAGAGGGGGGGGGTGGGTCTGAAGAATCTCTGGCCTACATATTGTATGCAAATGAGATTGGAAACGGTGCAATGTGGATCTCAAATGGCTGAGGCTGGTTCAACCAGTCCCAGCGGTGTCTTTTTTACTCATGTTTCATGGCAGCGTGTCATCTAGGCATTGTGTCATTTCAAGGACAGGTTTTAAATACAACACAAACTTGAGCATTCCCATGTGTGCCTGACCCCATCTGGAATGCGAAAGGTTGTGTTTGCCTCCAACATCTCCAAACCAAATGAGCCGTCAGTCATGAATATTTGAGCCATCTGATAAATGTATGTGTTTTACAGTTAATGCAGCTTTTTGTAAATCTATTTAAATATTTTGAGCTTTTAGCTTATGAGCTTTCAACAGCATTTTAACAGGTGGAAATCTTAAAAGGTCTCCGTTAATGCATTTTCACATCAGTGTGTGACAGCTGTCTACTCAAGTGTAACAAGAGGGCACTTAAGGTTTAAGTGTGTTTGACCGTTACCTGCTGTTGACCACTGCAACAGAATAATGGACAAAGGCCAATAACTTGATAAATTAATTCAGT